TGATTATAGTTCCAGCTGTCTACTGCAGGACATGTTTTTTTTTCAATAATAAAAAGTGCAAAAGAAATGTTACAGCTTTCCTTTTTTACATTTTTAAAAATCCACATGTATTCATATAGGAAAAAATGGAAAACTCTTGTCTCCGCCAAATTCCTAACTTAATTTAATTAACAATTTAAAAATATAGAATTATATATTCTATATAATACCCAGGATATCTTTAGTGATTCATATCCAGGAATATATATATATTATACTTCTCAGCTTTTCGCTCATGAACCTAATGACCCTTAGCATCTTTTGATGTGGTTTGTAGCAAGCCTGCCTGGAAACCAGCTTGATTGTGTTTTTGATAGCCATACATTCAAACAGAATTTACCCAATTCAAAAATATTATAATAATACTATTTTGAATATGTTTTTTATTAGATAAGAGAAAGTGGCAAGTGGGTGACAAGGTGTACAAATAGCACCGCATCCCTATAAATGTTTATGTTTTATATTAACCACAGTGTTACTTTTATATTTTTTTATGCCTAGTGTGACTCACTAACGCTAGATATATCTTCATGTGGATCACAGGGGTCCAAAGAAAGGACCACTAATTTACTTATTTAAGAATCACAGCAACAAGAATCACTTCTGAAAATCAATTAACAGTAACTGTCCATCTGGAATAATTACTTTTTTATAAAAAAAAAAAAATATTTTTGTAAAATCCTAGGCGTTTTAGAATTGCGGTGGTGTTACACAAAGGACCATCCAAAGAGTCAAGGCGAGAGTTAAAACATGGATGATTATTTTTGAAAGTATTCATGCCCTTCAATTACAGTTGAACTTTTTGACAACAAACCAAATTTGGACATAATCTCTATTTTGCTTACAGGATTTAAAACAAAATATTAATATTGTATTATGAACGTAACAATTTATTTGGCTTGTTTTGTAACTCTTTAGATTATAAGCTTCATAAGCAGGGCCCTCCTATTCCTTCTGTATTAAATTGTATTGTAATTGTGCTGCCCCCCCCCCCCCCCCATATATTGTAAAGCACTGTGTAAACTGTTGGCGCTATATAAATCCTGTATAATAATAAATATTAATAATAATTTGGCAAATGTCACATTTACCAATGGACATAGCAGAGCAAATACTTTTTTCTTAAGGGTGCAGCTTGTCCAAACCACCAGACCACCAGGAAGTCAGATGAAAGGCTAAAGAAGAAAACTTTTTTTCTCTGTTTCCTATTTGTATTCTGTGAAACTTTTGAACATATTTACAGTAATATGTTTTAACCAACTACAACCCAGCTCAGCTTCTTGCCATCATGTATACTGACCTCAGAAAAATATATAGAGTGAAAGTACATTAATGATCCACCAACATAGTGTTCCAAATTATAACACTTTGTGTCCATGCAAAATCCAGTTAAGTAGCACTATGATTAAAAAGGTGCACTATTTCCTGGCATTTTATATTTCTAATTAATAAAGAGCATTTAACGTATGTCAAGAAAACTTATAACATTTGGCCCACAAAAAAGCAATGCAAAAATGTTATAGAAATGTATCTGAGACAAGTTCATTGTGAGATCTTAGCTTGATACATTTCACTCCCTCTGCTGGTTAAAGAACACGCTCTGCCAAATTAGAACATGCCCCTGAGCAAGGTTAAAAAATAAAAATGTCCTCAATACTATGCCTAAAAAAATACTCTCTCTCATTAGAAAAGACAGCAAGAATCTGTATTCCGGTGAATTGGAGTAGGCAAGACCTCCTGTCCCTGAATCAGTGGTTTGCACAAATAAATGACATTACATCTATCACCCATTATTAATGGTAAAGAAGAGTCCTTTGGACAAAGTGGTTCTACTGGAACTAAATTCCGTTTACTATCGAATACTTGGAGGTGCTTGCCTCGGGTAAGTTGATTCCCTCAAGGTAACTCCAAACTATATACTAATCACAATGATATGGTGACCTGATGGACGTTCGTTGTGAGCCTGGCTTCTCTTCTTTTTCATCTTTCCCCTGTCTCCTCCCTTCCCCAATTTTCTCACACGACTCCCTCCCCAGTTCCTTGAACCTTATACATGAAAATCAAAACAGCAAAAAACCTAGAAAGGGCAGATTTATTAACTCTATAAAAGACTGCTCATTACATGCAATTCTTGACTCTCTGGTCAACAATATGGTATGGGCTAACTATTCAATGCTTCATATAGACTGTAATGTTGCCCTAAAGGTTTTATTATGCTGTTGTGTATGAAGATACTTTGTACTTACTTGTCTATAATAAATAAATAATCATTTAAAGTGATAACAGTCATGCGTGCAACTGGGGTGAGGGTGTAGGTGTCACAATCACACATAAAAGTCTTTGATTTCACCAGATAAGCACCCATGTATGTGCCTGTGTGTGATAAAGAGCGTCCTATGTAATCTGAATAAAACAAATAGTTTATAGTTTTCAGTATAGTGTTTCCACCAATTAACGAAGGTTATCTAGTGCAGAGTATTTGGGGCCTGGCCTACCAGGTTGGCCTGCGACCTTCTGCCCTGTCTTTTCTGTCCTCCACTTACTTCAGAATCGCAATAGATGTTGCTTCTATTTAATCAAGGAATTTTTAAAACAACAGACATTAGCATAACCAATTACTAATAGGTGAACTACTATTGTGATTGTTACTTATTAGAACAGTTGGTATACTCTAAATTGCCATCCATCCTTTTTTTTTTAAATTCGGAAAGCAGTGCAGTCTTTTGAAGGAGCTATGGGTTGCATGGGCCTACTTCCCGAACTCTTAAGATGGAAAAGAGGGACATATTGCAGCACCAAAGTTTTTAGGAAGAGGACCCATACCCCGGGGCCTGAACACCCTTAAAACATCTGCCTACATAAGTCTTAATAAATTCCTGTATTAGACAACAGCATAGAAAACCAAAACACAAATCCCTTGACACATGAAAAGCTTGTACTGCCCATACCAATTAAATATTATTTTTTATGTTAAAAAAATAATTTTCTGGCCAGTTGCTGTTCAAAAATACTTTTCCTTTATATTAGTCTTTGAAAATAAGCCGCAATAAAGTTGGGAGTCTAATGAACTTGATTTTTGATAATACACAGACATATACAAATGTATACATAAGAGGGACAATTGTTCAGGAGGGTTGGGGAGGGTGGATTTGGGTTCAACAGAGGACAATCTATCCTGATGCTTCTCAGTTACAAGCTATGGATATGTTATGAGACTCTTTAAACTAGGCTGATAACTAATGGTGTGATCTGGGCTGTGTGTTGGCACCAAGAGCTATAGCCTATTGCAGACTCTAGTACTAAACAACACTATTACAGCTTTTTAATTATTTTCCTTCATCTTGTGGGTTCAGTCCAGCCAATGCAAACATGCATACAAAATGTACTTGCCATTTACAGATTTTATTCAGTCCTATTCACAACGTTAATAATTAATAAATGCTTGAAATGCCCACCAGTTTAGTTAGCCTTCTTAATTTTTTTTTTTTTATTGTATACATTTGACCACCATTAGGATTTACATAAACCTCAAATGTCCCTGCAAGATTTCAGTAAATTTGCAAAGGTTCATAGAAAAAAAATACCACAGATCTTGTATGGAATTTTACAGTGAACAACCAAAAATGACTCATAATTACTGAAACCTACCAGCAAATTGAAAGGAGGTTATTTATGTTACCCTAATTTAGCCTATGTAGCTTTTTTTTTGCTGGTTTTGCTGCATAAAAGATTAGATATAATGAACAGAAAATGTTAAAATTGTGTTGGAAAAATATATTTTTTTAAATAAATGGCATGCGAACATATGGAAATAAATAAATAAATATATCTAATGACGATATGACGTAAGAATTAAGATCATTCTGACAACAAGTCACGTCAACCAATCTCAGCTGGAGCGTTCTTGTGGGAAACATTACTGCATACATGTTCGCTTGAGATATATATACAGTATATATATATATATACACAGTATGTGTATATAAATATATGTGCCAATTGTTAGGTGAACAGCACCTGCTATAATATAATAGGTGCCAGCAACCAGAGCCCTGCCTATGGCCTAATATGCAGAAATATGCCAAAAAGGAGTTGCAGTACAAATTGAATATTTATCTAAAGTTGCAGAAATGAATATATGTGTGAATATCTATTCATTTTTTTAATTATATATATAATATATATCATATATAATTCCATACATAGATATCTATTTATCTATCTATCTATCTATCTATCTATCTATCTATCTATCTATATGCAAGTTTTATATATATATATATATATATGTATATATTTTGAACAGAATCAATGTACAAATGATATAGTTTAATATCTGAAAATAACTGTCATTTACAGAAAACAGACACCCAGGTATGGACTTGGTCACCATTATTGTCTTATAGTTTCGATCTTTGTTGTTTTTGTTTTTTTTGCGAGTTCACAACTTTTGTTACTGTTTTTGTGGTTGTTTCATAAAGTTTTGTATGTGTGACAGTAATTGGCTTAAAACTTAAACATTTTATATATACCATCGGCAGCATATCGATTAGTTGCAGATACCAGTTGGGCCAATATTACTATTATGAATAAATAATCACTTTTTACAAAAGCATTTGTTTATTATTGAATATATTTACTGCAGCAACTTTTCCCTGTAGGGTAAATTAGGTTAAGGTTAAGTTAGCTTAAAAAGGCCCACTGGTATGTATGTATGTTCTTTAAGAAAACTTTAATTATATAAAAAATAAATACTAAATATACATTAAATATTAGTAAGGTCTACGCTATTATTTCCGGTTCTGGCCCTGTGAGGCTGCTGGTTATGTGTTTTGCATACGCACTGTATGTGTTTGTTTACATACGTAAAACTCAATAAAAAGAATTTTATTAAAAAAAATATATATGTACATTAAATATAAAATAACACATTTACTTAAAAAAGAACAGGGATTACTTACCTGCCTTGTTTGGTGATGATCATCTCTGTGTGATGCTTGTGAAATTTACTCCATAGGGGGTGATTAGCTAGGGTGACCTGTATCTTCTCTGAACTCTGGCATCCTGGACTAGGGGTACGAGTGAAGGGGTGGGTTAGGGTTACGGGGTAAGAGAGATGTCCATCACATTGGGGGTAACTTTCGGTTTCTACAACCTCAGGGTCACAGTCTTGTCTGTAGGGGCAGGTAGCGGTGGCGGCGTGACGGGCTCCGTGGAGATAGGTATAATTAGCAGGTAAGCTTTCATCCCCAGAATCGAGATGATCAAATTTATGTTGCAGTTTGGTGGAAAGGCTCTGCTCACTTGCTGTGCTATGTAGTTCTTCAGTTCTCTGAATAAGTTTGTCACTTTGGATCCCTATCACGCTCTTCTTACTCAACATATTTTGCGCATCTGTTTCGCTCTGCATCGGCGCTCCGCTGTTTATCTCTTCTGTGTTCTGCATATCCGTTGGCCTCTGCAATCGTGCTTTGCTCTGAACCCCTGTTATGCTCAGCACTTTCACCATGCCTGGCATGCTCGATGTGCTGTGTCGTTCAGCTGTGCACTGCATGTGCTTCTCTTCTGGTAAGTTGTGCATTCGAGTTCCTCTGTGCATTCTGATGCGTAATGCTCCGCTGCACCCATGGAAGTGTCTCAGAGTTACCCCTCCGGTGTCACTGTGACACCAGGTGGATGTCACATAAGAGTCACGTGCGAGGATGTCCTTCCTCCACCTATGCACCTGTCATTATCTCCCCATCACTTTGGCACATGTCACTCATTCCTCGACACAGTTTCAACTTGGAGGCTTTCTTCTAGAACCCCAAAGTGCTCAGTCCTTCATTTTTCTCTGCTCATACCGTTCTAGCTCCTTAGCGTAACCTTGTCACCTTATTTCCACATGTATCCATTACACTCATAACTATAGATCTTCTGCAGGTGTCACTTGTCACTGTCTTTTTATGTCACTCTGCTCTACCACAGCCTGCTTTCTGCCAGTCTGTCGCTCTGTCACCTCAAGCCTTTTATCACAGGGAAATTAACTCTTCCCTGATTGGTTCAGTTCACCCCCTTAAAACTGCCTACAGAGGTGGCTGAGCCTTAAAATGTTTCTTCGTCACATTCACTGGGTGGCCACCTGCAAAAGAGCACAGTTACAGAGTCAGCTTCGTATCCCTTCTACAACCTATAATAGGCATGTAAAAAAAAAAATACAAAAAGGTATAAACACATGCCAACAGCAAAATGTACAAGCACTACAAACCTATAGCATACAGACCGTGACAGGGCAGCCCTTGTCGGCCAGCATGCTACAGGCAGCAAGCAGCGTGCAGATACAAAATGTCATTCATGTTTATATCCCCGAGCATGTGTCTCTGCTGGAAGGCATTTTGTGCTTTGAGCATATTTATTTTGAAGTGTGTGTTTGTGGTGTAGTGTGCAACATGTGCAGGAAGTAACTGCTCAGGTTACCGGCAGCTCCAGGCAATCCGCCGGTAATATGAGGAGTAACAAGAGGAGATATACAGGGTCAGTATATAAATATATATACATATTAAGAATGTAAAATGAAACAGGGAATTTTATATATATATATATATATATATATATATATATATATATATATATATAAAATTGGATTGCTGCACATAAAAAAATTTTATTGTTGAAAAATCACCATACAAAAGGGTGATCCAAAAAAATGGAAAAAGCCATACATCATAGTGTTCATAGTTGTTAGTTGAACACTATGATGTATGGCTTTGTCCATTTTTTTGGATCACCTTTTTTTTTATGGTGATTTTTCAACAAAATAAGTTTTTTATGTGCAGCAATCCAATTTCTTTTTTCTATATATGGCCTATGGGAGGTTTTAGGGTTCCTACGTTGGTGCATATGCAGCTGGTTACAATTTTAATTGATTTATCTATTCATTTACTTTGTTTTGAGTGCTCGCTGTATCCTTGCTATGGAAGGGCCTGATTGCTATGCACTCTGATTGATCATCGTTGTGCACTCCACCTATATTACTCTCTCTCTCTCTCTCTGTGTGTATATATATATATATTTGGTCCCCTGCACATTTTGTAAGTTTGCCCACTTACGAGGAAATGAAGGGTCTATAATATCATAGGTGTATTTTAAATGATAGAGACAGAATATCAACCAAAAATCCAGAAAAAAAACACATGATAACAAATGTTATAAATCGAGTTGCAGTTCAGTGAAATATGTATGTGATCCCCAAGCACAGTTAGGAAAATAATTATTTGATCCCCTGCAGATTTTGTAAGTTTGCCCACTTGCAAAGAAATTAAAGGTCTATCATTTTTATCATAGGTGTATTTTAAATGATAGAGACAGAATATCAACTAAAAATCCAGAAAAAAACACAATACAAATGTATTTGAAGTGAAGTATTTGATCCCCTACCAACCAACAATAATTGTAATCTCACAAACCAGCTATGTGCTCATGTTGTACACAGGTTAGTCCTGTCAATTTAAGAAGGTGCTCCTAAAGGCAACTTGTTATGTGTATAAAAGTCACCTGTCCACAGAATCTCTTTCTTCCATTCAAATGCCCATTCCATGATGGGCAAGACCAAAGAGCTGTCAAAGGATGTCAGGGAAAAGATTGTAGACCTGCATAAGGCTGAGATGGGCTACAAGACCATCAACAAGAAGGCTGTTGAGAAGGAGACAACTGTTGAAGCGATTATTCACAAATGGAAGAAATACAAAATAACCATCAATCGCCCTCGGTCTGGAGCTCCATGCAAAGATTTCGCCCCATGGGGTAAGGATTATCATGAGAAAAGTGAGGGATCAGCCAAGATCTCCACAGGGGGGACTTGTGAATGATCTCAAGGCAGTTGGGACCACAGTCATCAAACAAATCATTGGTAACACAATTCAACTCCATGGATTGAAATCCTGCAGTGCCCGCAAGGTCCCCCCTCCTCAAAGAAGGCACATGTACAGGTCCATCTAAATTCTGCCAATGAACATCTAAATGATTCAGAGAAGGATTGGGACAGACTATCAACCAAAAATCCAGAAAAAAAAAAACACGTGATACAAATGTTATAAATTGAGTTTCAGTTCAGTGAGTAAAATAAGTATTCCCAAGCACAGGGAGGAAAATAATTATTTGACCCCTGGCAGATTTTGTAAGTTTGCTCACTTACAAAGAAATGAAGGGTCTATCATTTTTATCATAGGTGTATTTTAAATGATAGAGACAGAATATCAACCAAAAATCCAGAAAAAAACACGATACAAATGTTATAAATTGAGTTGCTGGTCAGTGAGTAAAATAAGTATTTGATCCCCAAGCAAAACATGACTAGTACTGGTGGTGGAGAAACCCTTGTTGGCAAGCATGCAGGTAAGACGTTTCTTGCAGTTGGTTACCAGGTTTGCACAAATCTCAGGAGGGACTTTGGTCCTACTCTTCTTTACAGATCTTCTCTAAATTCTTAAAGTTTCTTGGCTGACGTTTGGCAGCTCGAAGTTTCAGCTCCCTCCATAAATTTTCTATAGGATTAAGGTCTGGAGACTGGCTAGGCCACTCCATGACTTTAATGTACTTCTTCTTGAGCCACACCCTTGTCATCTTGGTGGTATGTTTTTGGTCATTTTCATACTGGAAGACCCATCCACGACCCATCTTCAGTGTTCTGGCTGAGGCAAGAAGGTTCTCATCCAAGATTTTACAATTCATGGCCCCATCCATTGGCCCCTGAATGCGCAAAGTTGGAATATACCTTTAGCAGAGAAACAGCCCTAAAGCATAATGTTTTCACCTCCATGCTTGATTGTAGGGATGGTTTCCTTAGAGTCATATTCAGATTTTTCTTCCTCCAAACAGATATTATTATTATTATTATACAGTATTTATATAGCGCCAGAAAGTTTGCTCAGCGTTGTACAGAGTAGTGGGGGACAGTACAAGAGACAATACAGTAACAAAATAGTATACGAGGGATTCGAGGGCCCTGCTCTTTCGAGCTTACAATCTAGGAGGGAGGGGATAGTGACACAGGAGGAAGTGGCTGTGGGGGATGGAGTGGTAGGAGGAGTGGAGGAGATCGGCTGTTAGGTGAGGGTGGAGTAGGCTTCCCTGAAGAGATGGGTTTTCAGAGTGCGCCTAAAGGTGAGAAGGGTAGGTGACAGTCTGATGGATTGGGATAGTGAGTTCCAGAGGATGGGGGAAGTCCTGGAGAAGTCCTGAAGTTGGGCGTGGGAGGAGGAGATCAAGGAGCTAGTAAGTAGGAGGTCTTGTGAGGAGCGTAGAGTGTGGGTTGGGTGGTATTTGGGTATCAGGTCGGTGAGATAGTTCGGGGCAGTGTTATGAATGGCTTTGTAGGTCAGTGTTAGTAGTTTGAATTTAATGCATTGGGCAATCGGAAGCCAGTGGAGGGAATGACAGAGGGGGTGGCAGATGCGGAGCGGTTGCTAAGGTGGATGAGTCTGGCCACTGAGTTCAGGATAGACTGAAGCGGGGATAGCCTGTGTTGGGGTAGGCCGATGAGGAGGGAGTTGCAGTAGTCGAGTCGTGAGATAATAAGGGAGTGTATGAGTTGTTTGGTAGTGTCTGGAGTTAGGAACAAGCGTATTTTGAAGATGTTGCGGAGGTGGAGCCTGCATGAGTTTTCCAGCAATTGGACATGGGGTTGGAAGGACAGGTTTGAGTCTAGAGTGACACCTAGGACTTTGGCTTGCGGGGTGGGACTGATGGTGGCGTTATTGGTCGTGATGGAGAGGGTGGGGGGGGGGGCGCGGGCTGGGGGGGCAAATTAGGAGCTCGGTTTTGGAAAGGTTTAATTTGAGGAAGTGGAGCGACATCCAGTCTGAAATGTCATTCAGTAGGTGGGTGAGACTGAGGGGGTGAGGCGAGGGGTGGAGAGGTAGATTTGTGTGTCATCGGCATAGAGGTGGTAGTTGAAGCCATGGGAGTGTATCAGTTGGCCAAGGGAGGAGGTGTAGATGGAGAAGAGAAGGGGCCCGAGGACAGAGCCTTGGGGAACTCCAACAGAGAGGGAGAGAGAGAGGGGGAGGTGGTAGCGTTATAGGTAACGCTGAAGGAGCGCTGGGATAGATAGGAGGAGAGCCAGGAGAGAGTGGAGTCTCTGATGCCAAGGGAGTATAGTTTATTAAGGAGGAGGGGGTGGTCAACTGTGTCGAAGAGGTCGAGGAGTAAGAGGACTGAGTAGTGGCCATTAGTTTTGGTGGTTATCAGGTCGTTAGTGATTTTGAGTAGGGCGGTTCCGGTGGAGTGTAGGGGACGGAAGCCAGACTGTAGTGGATCGAGGAGGTGGTTGTCATTGAGGTGGGAGCTTAGGCGATTGTAGACCAAGCGCTCAAGGAGCTTGGATGTAAATGGCAGCAGGGAGATGGGTCTAAGGTTGCTCAGGTCGGAGGGGTCCATGGAGGGTTTTTTGAGTATGGGGGTGATGTGTGCGCGTGCTTTAGGGGG